CCCCAAAACCCCAAAACCCCAAAACCCCAAAACCCCAAAACCCCAAAACCCCAGCTTGTGCTCAGATGGTTGAAATATTTAATAAATTAAATGGCTGAAGCTGACGACAACTCACCGATTAGAAGATTTATACAGAACCATCCACTTAACTTGGCGATCATTAGCTCCCTGAGCGGAATGCTGAAGTCAATTATAGCTTTGCCAATCCAGCACCCGTTAGATACCTTGAAGGTAAACTACCAAATCCAAAATAAGTTAAAGAATGAATTTGAGGTCATCAAGCATATTCATGCAGAAAGAGGAGGAGTTAAAGGATTCTACTATGGATACATGGCTAATCAATCTAAACAGATTTTTAAGGCTAGCTATAGGTATCCTCTACTATCCTGTTTACCCAGATTTTACGCTGGATTGTTTGGAAGCAAGTATGAAGATCATAAGTATGCAATGAGAATATTGACTTCCTTTTCTTTGGCCATAATCGAAGCAACCCTTATCACTCCATTTGAGCGTTTGCAAGTGTTCCTGATGACGTCAAAGTTTGGAGATAGTAACTACCGGGACTTCTTCGACATGATCAAGACAAAAGCTAGGAAGGAGCTTTTCAAAGGGTATAGCCCTTATATATTGAAGCAATGTGTTTCATGGACTATCTTCTTGCAGGCTGATCAGTTCTACAAGTATAGGATAAGGAACTTGTTCAAGATACCTGATGAGAAGATGATCACTGGGTGGAAGCTTGGTATTTGCAGTCTATTAACAAGCTTCACTACTGTTCTTTCCGTGATGCCTTTTGATAACATAAAAACTTACCTCCAGAAGCACAACATCGAGCTCAAGGATGGGAGTAGAGTTAAGACCAATGAGAATCAGTTCACTGTGAGGAACGCCATTAAGGGTATCTATGCTAAAAGAGGCATTAGAGGCTTCTATGTAGGCTGGAGAGTAAGAATATGAGTAAATTTCATCAACTCCAGCTTCACTGTGGTGCTATTGGAATGGATTGAGAATCAAGCTCATGGTCTCTAAATATAATTGATCCTTGCTCTTCGTATTGATAATCCTTTTGATATTACGTTGGGCGTAGTATCAGGAATTGAGTTTATTTCTCTTTAAAAATCCTCCTTCTTACATATATGTCTTGGGTTGCAATTATAGAGATCATTCACTAAAGTATTTCCATGAATCCTTTTGAATTTATTATTTGTTGTTAAACATAGAGATGGTCACTTTTTTAGGTAAGAAAAGTTTTGAGAACGCCTGGGTCGTGAGAATTTCCCATCTACCCAAGAAACTCATGGAAATGAACCCAAATTAAAACTTTGGCGAGGGGAAAGATCTTTTCGAACACATCTTTGATTGCGTGTGCTATATTGGGTGCTTCATTAAGTTTTTCGAAGTAACATGCTTCTTAACTTTCAGCCTTAATACCACACGCTCTTCAAATTTGGGTTGACTAGAATTTTGTTTTTAACCTCTAATTATCCTGCCAGGTAGCGTTAACTAAAGTCTTTGGAGTGTATTCAGAACTTTTTCTGTAAAATTTAAATGGTAGGAATCGGATCTTTACTTCAAGTTTTATAGATTGTTATTAAACTTTTTGATATCAATTGGATTCCTTGAACTTGGGGTTTTGGGGTTTTGGGGTTTTGGGGTTTTGGGG